TTCCTTCCTTCCTTCCTTCCTTCCCTACCTCCCTCCCTTCCCCTTCCTTCCCTGCCTCCCTTCCTTCCCCTTCCTTCCTTCCTTCCTTCCTTCCTTCCTTCCTTCCTTCCTCCCCTCCTCCTACTCTGTCCTTCCTTCCACCCTCCCTCCCTTTTTTCTTCTCCTTTCTTTCACCTTCTTTCTTTCTTTCTTTCTTTCTTTCCATCCACCTACCTAGTCCCCTCCCTCCCTTTTTCGTTAATCGCTGATAGCAATGTCTAATCAACCACGGAACACCTCCCTTTCTTGGTGGCTGGGATAGGGCACCACTCAGCGCTCAAGAGTTCCGGTGTGTGTTTGGAGCGGACCTGCTCAAAGAAATAAGCCGTTCCCATTGAACTTCCTTTTTCCCTCCTTCCCTCTTTCCTTCCTTCATCCCTTCATCTCTATCATCTTCCTTCCTTAAATCTTCTTTCCTTAAATCTCCCGCCAGAAGCCGTCCCGGAAGATGAGTGGAACTTGCTGTACGTCGCGGTCACACGAGCTAAGAAGCGTCTCATCCTGCCCAGATTTCTCGCCGATATCCTAAAAGTGGCCAAGGTGAGTCAAAGCCATTCACCGACCGGGGAGTCCTCGACTTACAACTTTTGCTGTAGTGACTGTTCAAAGTTACAGCAGCACTGAGAGTGACTTATGATGACCCTGTTTCATACTTACGACCGTTGCAGCATCCTTGTGGCCACCGGATCAAAATTCAGACGCTTGGCAACCGGCTCACATTTATGACGGTCGCAGCGTCCCCAGGGTCAGGTGATCCCCCCCTTTTGCGACCTCCTGACAAGCAAAATCTATGGGAGAAAGCCGGATTCGCTTAACAACCGGGTCGCTAACTCTAACAAATGCAAAGATTCACTTAGCAACGGTGGGGAGAAAGGTTGCAAAATGGGACAAAAATTCACTTAACAACTATCTCACCCAGCGACGGAAACTTTGAACTCCATTCTGGTCGTAAGTCAAGGACCCCCTGTGATTCCAATGCTCAGGAACCCTTTTTTTTCCTTAGCTGGCTAAATGCTTCTGGTTTCTCCCCCTCCCCCCCCCCAGGAATACTACGTACGGTTTGAACTCGCCGACAAAGTGCGCGAAACAACATCGCTTTGGTGTTCGGAGCACGGCTGCTGCAACGCCATCCCGGCGGATTCTTTCCTAATCCCGAAAAGGACGAAGTTTGTTTACGTAAGTATCTCCTTTTTAGGAAGTGACCAGCTCAGTAATACTATAATCTAGTAAGGCCACCCCTGGAATGCTGCATCCAGTTTTGGTCACTGTGTTACAGAAAAGATGTTGAGACTTTGGGGAAAGTGCAAAGAAGAGCGACTAAGACGGTCAACGGCCTGGAGACTAGAACGTGTGTTTCTGGTCACCATGCTCAGAGAGCACCAAGGACCCCACGGTGGTGGTGGTGGTGGTTCTCCTCCTCCTCCTCCTCCTCCTCCTCCTCCTCCTCCTC